GACCAACATGTGACCAGAATCGCTTGTTATCTCTTACGGAAGGAGAGCGTTGATGTCTTCTGCCGACCACTGCTGAACTGACATATTTAATTGTTGTTGTTAATGTTGTTAATTTACCTGAACTCTGACGGCTTTTAAAAATGGCTCCTTTCAAACTGTGGTCTGTAGTGGAAGCTCCGCCTACTGACATCATAGGTTCCCTTGTTGGAGATCAGCAAGGATTCAGGGCCAGTTCGGAACCAGGATCTGGGCACTGGCCCAGGATTTTTTTTGAGTGACAAAAAGCACAGCCCGGTTCACCAGCTCTGGCACCAGCCCCGGTGGAAAAGCAGTCAGAGACCAGTTAGAATAAAGTTCTCATTTATAATGAAATTTGCTATTCTTCTGACATGATCATTTTATTAGCAAAACATCTCACCACTCAATCTCTGGTCTAAAACGCAATTACAAGTAAATATTCTGTAATCTTTTAATCTTTGCAGGAATGTATATGAAGATTGTACAAAGTAACATTTACACACTGAAAAAAAAAAAAGGTTCCAAAAGGGTGTTTTCACAGAGATGCCATAAAATAAAAAGTTTGGGTTCCTCAAAGAAGCTTTCAGTGAACAGTTTTTGAAAGAATAATTTTTTCTCTCTCTTAATATAAAGAACTTCTTGAAACTCCAAAGAACCTTTTTCTACTATAAAGAACCTTTTGTGGAATGGAAAGATTCCATGGATGTTAAGGTCCTTAATGGAAATATCAATGCCGTTAAAGAACCTTTGTTTTTAAGAGTATCTTTAGCAACACATAGCAGGAACATAATGCTATAAACACAGATATCTATTGGTACAATACGCATCACATGACTAAACATGCGGCATTGTTTTCAAATACCTCCATCTGCACGGTCCATTTACACAGTCCATTTAAATGTATCCACTTGGGAGAGTCTTCAAAATGCTCTGGTTTGGCTGGACAAAAACAATGTCTCATTGTGGACAGAGGGCCAAAACTTAGATAAAAAGGTGAATTTGCAAATGTATCTGGATTAATGTAGACTGTAATGTAGCCTTAGATTATTCAAATGTTCTTAGCACTAAGAAAAAAAATATATTTTAAGACCTTTTCACTGAAAGTTTCTTTGAGACCCAAAATAGTTATTCTATAGCATTGCTGAAAAAAGAAAACAACAACAAAAAACAACTTTTACAAACTTTATTTTTAAGAGTGCAGATGCTTTTCCCAAGATGTAATTGTATCGAGGAAGTAGAAATAAGCATGTAAACACAAGCAAACAAAATCATTGACACACACAAGTCGAAAAAACAAGTGGCGGCGAGTCTGTCGAGCCGGTAATCTCGCTACCATGGTGAGATGCTCCTGCAACTGAATGATGGGTTTACAGAGAGATGGATTGAGAAGGAAGACAAAGCTTGGAAAATGTCTCAATACACCTTGAGCATGGGATATAAATCCAGCTAAGTAAGAATGTGGCTTTTGCCATGGGACCAATAAGATCCAATAAGTCCTGGCATGAATTCCCAGGCCGCTCATGTAAACGCAAGTGATCATACCGTATATAACTGAATCTGTCACCTCAGATGTCGCAATACGAAAAAGAAAAGCTTCGCTGAGTGACAGTGCAGCTGAAGAACGGCTGATGTGACCATCACGAAAATGTCAATGCTAATAATTGAGTAACTCAGTGCTATGAAATCAATGTCAGAGGAGATTGGGTTCAACACAATGAAGCTGTTGATCTGTAAAGGGCAATTAGGAAAAACAAGACAATCAGAAAAAATGACAAGGCTCCAGGGTAATTAGTCCATGTGACTTTAAAAGGGACCTGTGTGCTAATTAATATTAAGCCTGTTGATCCTTTCTGATGGTCCTGTTTTTAACCTTTCATGGCAATGGACAAAGTCTAGACAGATTTGAGATTCTCAGAGCAAAGCTGTTCAAGAAAACTGGCAACTCACTAACAAACAGATTTACTAAACATTACTTTTTTTGTGTGTATTTTCGGTGGGAAAATTCTGCTGAATGGATTTAAACATGGCAGAATATGTTAAACTATTAAACTACACTTTTTGTTGTCTGAAAATATTTGCTGCATACCAATTTGCATATTATCCATCCTAAATAGTATTCAAAATTTGAATTATGGGTTAAACCTGTATAAGTTTCTTTCTTCTGTTGGTAACCAAACAGTTGATGGTAGCCATTGACTTACAATAAATAAATAAATACCATGGAAGTCAATGGCTACAGTCAACTGTTTGGTTGTCAACATTCTTCAAAATATCTTCTTTGTGTTCAACAGAATAAAGAAAGGATGTGTGGGTGAGTTAATGATGACAAAATTAAAATTTGTGGGTGAACTATCCCTTTAACAGCTAATATTGCCCACAATCCATTTTGCTTTTGAGGAAGATTCAGTTTCAGGAACTACAAACACAAATAAGGTGTTAAAAAACTTCAAACACGGTGGATTGACCTAAGGTTAAGTAGACAGAGTACAGGTAAAAGGGTTTGAGTGATTTATAATCAATATCTAACCTGATAAAAATATTCATGCTCATCTGCAGCGACATTTGCAACAACAATATTTGGTGTACACCAGTGTTTCTCAACTGTGTTGGAAGACCGTTCTGAGTGGGTAGTGGAGTGTACAGTCAAAGAAACATCAACAACAAAAAACATCATTCTAAATGATTTTCTGATGCGAGACTTTTATTTTGAAAGACGTGCATGAAAGCTGTTGACACTTCTGTCAGAAGCAGTTTAAGCAAAGAGTGCCTGAGAAAAATGCGCTGTCCTGATTCATGCGGTCAGATGAGATGTTGTCAGGCTTAATGTCAGTCATATCATTTTAGCATTATTTTCGTAACTTATTACGAAATAAAAAGTCTCTCACCACTGTCACCATATTTTTACCCACTTATATATATATATATATATATATATATATAAGTGGGTCGTGGCTTGATGACCATGGGAAAATGTGGGTCCATGACCAAACCAGTTGAGAATCACTGGTGTACACAAAAATAGATGGTGCTGATGGGAGTATATCAACAAACAGTGAATCATA